ATAACTAGCGTTATCTTATTGCTAACTTCATTTTACCGAGATATTTTTTTTACATGACCAGGTTTGGGATTAACAAAATATATTTCAGAACCTATGTTATCTCTCATCGTGAATGGTGAATTAAAAACATCTGGGTTTTACACGGGGAAAGGAAAAGGTAAAGCAATAGATCTTTCTGAAGAAGAAAAACCTGAATCACCACCTAAGTCTGAGACCGATTCAGAGTATGAGGAAGATACTAGGAAAGCTATTGCACTCTCATTACAAGAAAAAAAAGGAGAGTCTTCTAAACGTAGCTGGAGTAAGGAAGATTCTCCTGTAGGATTTGATATGGATAAATTAGCTATTTATATCCAAGATTGAAAGACATCCAAAGATAGCTTTTTAGCCTATGCGAAACTTTATAATAACCTAAAAATCAAACTGGATAAAGAAACGGTTAAAAGTGAGAAAGATCTTACATTATTATCTGAGTATTTGAAGCAATCTAATAAATTTAAACTTATAAAAGATAAAATGGAAAAAAACTTAATAGAAAAAGGGATAAATCCCTCTGAGCAATTCAATCTTGAAGATCGTTCAGATACAGAGTCTTATTCTTCTTTTTACAGCTCGGATAAGAGTCAATCATCCAACAATTCTCAATCTAGAAGTAAGAAACGTATAAAATATTCAGATGTAGATAATAATTTAAACTTTCCTTTAGGGTTTATTGGGTTCAATCTTATACCGGTAGTACGTATATTATCCTTTATAGTTTCAACTATTTTAGTATTAATTATACATTTAAATATATTACCTATTTTAGATATGTGGTTTTATATAGATTTAAGACTATTCTTTACTTTATTTTTAATGGTTAATTTAGCTAAACTTATGTATAAATGGTATAACACGGCGATTAATATTTATAATCATTACTTGAACAAAGATTATCTGACTATATATTTTAATATTTATTTTTCTATTGTTACAGTGTTATTATATTTTAGTAGTAATAGTGATATTTGTATTTTTTATTGTTAAAAGGTAAAAATTCAAAATATGATTTTATGTCTTTCCTTTTTGTTTATGTTTGCTTGTTTTCCTTTTTGTTTATGTTTGCTTGTTTTCCTTTTTGTTTATCTTTGTTTCTTTTCCTTTTTGTTTATGTTTGTTTTTTTTCCTGTTTGTTTATCTTTGTTTCTTTTCCTCTTTGTTTATTTTTTTTTCCATAAAAAAAAAAAGAAACTAAAAAAATAAACTTTTTTAAACAAAAATTTAAAGGTGTTAGGTATAGAGATAGATATATTAAAAAGAAATAAGTAAGGAGTATAAGAGCTATGCTGAATGTTTTGGTTGTGATTTTAAAAAAAGGCGTATTATGAACTTATTCTTAAATATCATGTTAAATTTAAACAGAAGTAATTTTCAAGCACATCCTTTTCATTTAGTATCTCCTTCTCCATGACCTTTATATACATCCATTAGCTTACTAACACTTACTACATCTGCAGTTTTATCATTCCATGGGTTTGCTTATGCAGAATACAATTTAATGATGAGTTTAACATCATTAATATTAGCTATGTCATTCTGATGAAGAGATGTAATAGCAGAGGGTACATACTTAGGTAATCACACTCTTGCTGTCCAAAGAGGGTTAAATCTGGGTGTTGGTTTATTTATAGTATCTGAAGCTTTATTTTTCTTAGCTATATTCTGAACATTCTTCCATAGTGCTCTATCACCTGCAGTAGAGTTAGGTGCTATGTGACCTCCTATGGGAATAGAAGCTATTGATCCTTTTGAACTACCATTAATAAATACAGTGCTTTTATTGGCTTCAGGGTTTACTGTTACATATGCACATCATTTTTTAATTAACGGAAAAAGAAGTAAAGCTTTATATGGTCTATTATATACTATCATATTAGCAACTATATTTACAGCACTACAAGGTGTTGAATATTCAGTATCATCATTCACTATTTCAGATGGAGCTTTTGGATCATGTTTTTACTTTGGAACTGGGTTAATTCTAGCCCCTATTTTAAAAAACATATATTTGAAAATTAAAATATCTAACTATTCAACGGTTAAATCTCAAGATAAGAGCTCTAACTCCATAAATTCTACTAGTAATTTAAATCCTAATTGAATAACAGGATTTTGTGATGCTGAATCTAGCTTTTCTGTTAGAATAGCTAAAGATGAAAAAAGGTTTAAATCTTTACGTATAGCACCAATTTTTGCTATAGAACTACATGAAAAAGATTTTGATTTACTTAAAAAAATAAATGCTTTTTTCACAGTAGGTACTATCATAAAAAGAGTTAAAAATGGTAATCCTAGCGTAATATATTCGGTTCAATCCATTAAAGCACTAAAAGATGTAATAATACCTCATTTTAACAAATATAATCTATTAACACAAAAGAGAGAAGATTTCCGTATGTTTTCTTCAGTAGTAGATATACTTTACAATGGTCAACATAAAACTGAAAAAGGTTTAAACAAAATATTATCTTACAAAGCCTCTATAAGTAAAGGTTTATCAAAGTCATTATTAGATATGTTTCCCGATATTATACCTGCGGCAAGAAACCTAATATTATCTACCAAAGATTTTAATCCATTTTGAGTAGCGGGGTTTGTTGACGGTGAAGGTTGTTTTTATGTAAAAACATCCAAGACCCATTCAGGTTATAGAGTAAGTCCGTATTTTTATATAGCACAACATATACGTGATATAGATTTACTAGAAAATTTGGTAATTTATTTAAATTGTGGTTTAGTAGAAACTGTGAAAACTAGACCTCGTCAATCTAGTTATGTAGTCTATAAATTATATGATATTACTAATAAAATAATACCTTTTTTTGAAAAATACTCTTTAAGAGGAAATAAATTACTAGATTTCTATTATTTCAAAAAAGTAGTTAATATCGTAGGAGAAATTAACAAGTACGATGAACATAGTGCTACATTAAAAGAAATTTTAAAAATAAAAAGAAATATGAATAGATATAGATAAATTTTCATTAATTTATTAATTAAAATAGAAAATGGGGTAAATAGCATGAAACTCCATCATTATTATAAGGCGCTGCCATAAGATAATATGGACAATGTGCGGCGAAGCATGTATTTAATAAATTTTTAAAAAAAAGTTACAAAAGCAATAATCTTTATTTTAAGGGATACATGAAGCCTCAACGACTAGTAGATGAGTACTTTATTTACAATAATTCTACCACGAACACCCCACATTTATAAAAAATAATACTTTATAAAAAATAATACTTTATAAAAAATAATACTTTATAAATGAAGACATAGTCTGAACCATTCTGATAAAGAATGGATATAAGAGATAAAGAGCTCTTATGATAACAAATTTGTCCACGGATTAATTACAGCAGTCCCTACCAATTCTTTTATGTCGTTAGGTAATCAATTTAGTGTAAAAAACAATTCAGTTCTTACTTTAGAATCAAATAAAAAATTAATTCATTTAGATAAGAATTTTATTGATTGATTAGTGGGATTTACCGACGCGGAAGGAAATTTTAATATTAGTTTAAAAGGTTTACAAGATAACAGATATAATAGTTTAAATTTAACTTACCAAATAACTCTGCATATAAATGATTTATCTGTTTTAGAACATATTAGAAACAGATTAAATTGTGGAAGTATTTCTAAATCAGGAAATAAATGTAATTATTTTGTAAATGATCAAAAATCACTAGTAAATGTAATAGTACCTATATTTAATAATGTAGAGTTAAAGAGTTCTAAATTTTTTCAATTTTTGAATTTTAAAAAAGCAGTTCATTTATTAATAGATAAAAAGCATTTAACTTTTAAAGGTAAAATAGATATCTTACAATACTATCGTGATATGATACTCATAAATCAAAATTCTAAAGCTAGAGAAAATATGATAATAGGTAAGTACTGATTAATAGGATTCACAGAAGGAGATGCGACTTTTAGTTCAAATAAACTAAAACCAAAAATAAAATATGAAAATCATATAAAAGAATTAGAATTATTTAAAAGTATTTTAAATTACTTAAAGCATGGTAATTTATATACATCGGATAGAAGATCAGCAGGTTCTGTTATATTAGAAATAAATAATATTAATATTTTAATGAACAGAATAATACCTACTTTTTCTAATGGTATGTTGACTAAAAAATCTTTAGATTTTGAAGTTTGATCTACAATAGTTAAAATTACTTATTATGGGTACCATACATTAGATGAAGGTAAAGAATTAATTAATCTCCTTAAATCTAATATGAAGAATTTTAGATTAAATCCTTATTTTCTTACAAACTATGATCAAAATAAAGCGTTAATTGAGCAAAGGTTAAATTATCTATTGTCCTTGCCAAGTCCTTATGAAATAAAAGAGGGAATTATATTTTTAAGAGGTACTGATAAATTAGTGTCGAAATTTTTTAAAATAAAAGTAGAAGATACTAATGGTAAGGTACAATATTTTACTAGTATATCTGATTGTAGCTTAAATCTTAACATACCTAGTAAAACTATTAAAATTTGTTTAATGTCAGGAATTCCCTATAAAATATACACGATTAAGTTTGATACCGTTATTTAATAGAGTTGACAGAAAACGGGGTAAATTGCATGGAACTCCTACTTCACCATTCATATGTGTTTATGTAGGACAATATGCAGCCAAGCATATATTAAATAAAATTAAAAGGAATATATGAAGGTTCAACGACTAGTAGGTGAGTACTTTATTTACAATAAGCCTACCACGAAAACCCTGCAATCATTTATTGATTGATGACATAGTCTGAACCCTTTTGAAAGAAAGGGATGTAAGGGATAAAGAGCCCTTACGATAACAATTATTGTACATGTAATGATAGGTACAGCATTTTTAGCTGTTGGTCTATGACGTGTATTAGCATATCATTTAACAAATAACCATCATTTAGGATTAGAAGCTGGTATTCTGTATTGACATTTTGTTGATGTTGTATGACTATTTCTATTTGTGTCCATATACTATTGAGGATCTTAAGATACATACTTGTATAATTTATGCCAATACTTCTACTAGTACTCATTCGGATATAATATATAAAACCGAAGGGTGTAGCAACGATGATGGTGATAATGGTGGTACTGATAACAATGATGGAGCCAACGAGGAGGAGGAAAGTTTTGAATTAGAAGAAGAAATACAACATATTGAAAAACTAATGAGAAATTCAAATGATGCTATGATTTTAGATGAAAAACTTCCTTATTCTGAAAAAGAGAAAAATTCACACTTAAATGATCTAAGAAAGGATCCTCATGTTAAAGAATTTTTTGAAGGGAAAACTCCTAATGTAAGCGATTTACCAGAGTTAAATAAAGCTCTTGTAGAATCTAGGAATGAAAAAATAAAAGAATTATCTGAAGCTAAAAATTATGCTAATGATGAATCATCTACTAATTCTCTAAGAGATCTATCTAATTCAAGTTTGCATCAATCAGATAATACTTTAAACAAAGAAGATAATCATAACTATTCGGGTTATAAAGTATTACCTAGTTTATTAGAAACTATAATAGAAATTTTAAATAAACTATTCGGGTTATAAAATATTACCTAGTTTATTAGAAACTATCATAGAAATTTTAAACAATATTTTTGGTTAGAACTTTTTTCTCTGACTTTTTTCATATATTATAATATATGAAAAAAGTCAGAAGGGATAGGTACAGCATTTTTACCTGTTGGTCTATGACGTGTACTACCATATCATTTAACAAATAATTATCATTTAGGGTTAGAAGCCGGAATACTTTATTAACATTTTGTTGATGTTGTATGATTATTCTTATTTGTGTCCATATATCATTGAGGATCTTAACGTTTAATAGTTGTTTACAGTAAACATGTTATGAAAACAGTTCCCTTGTGTTTAAATTACATGCGGCAAAACAGTATAACATATCCCAGTAGATAAATGTTTTTTATAGCTGGAAGATTGCAAGATAGACTTATGTTTCTACAGCAATCGGGGGAGAAGATTCATTTAGGATTTACCTATTATTATTAAAGCCCCCATAAAAAAAGAAATTAGCTCAATTGGTAGAGCATCCGTTTTATATGCGGCAGGTTAAGTGTTCAAATCACTTATTTTTTTTTTAACTTTTTGCGAATGATAAGTATACAATAAGGAGATGAAATGGAAGAAACATTATAAAGCCTTAAAAATACTCTATCTAGAGTATAAGCAGGGACTAGGAGAAAGCATCCGCTTTACACCTGAGAGGTTAATTGTTCGATTCACCTATTTTTTCAACTTATTTTTCATAATTACATTCCTATCTTAAAGGGAAAATGGTTAATTTTAACGATAATAAACATAAAAAATCATAGAAATGTATTAAGGATGTACAATATTAATTAAACTTATAACTTTCATTGTTTTCCCCGCCCCCCTAATTTATACCAATAATTCATAATAATATTCTATGTTAACCATATTGAAAAATAAACAAAATAGTTTTAATGATAAACCATTAAGTACTAACTATATTATAGAAAAAAATCAAAAAATACAAAGTAATTCTGAAAGAGATGAATATAATAACATTATTTTTTATACGTCTTCTAATAAAGAATGATTTAGTAGTGTATACTCTTACAATAAATCTTACATTAAATCTTTAATAAGTAACGATGCTGTATTAAATAAATTACTTAGAAGTTATTGTAATATGCTACAAGATAAAATAAAAATTCTTTTTAAACGTAGACGTGATAACAAGATTCGTTATTCAGCAAACAAAATATATGCAAGTAGAGTTGAGCTAAAACATACTAACACAAAACTTTTTATTACATTACATATATATAATAAACAAAAATTATCTATTGAGTGGTATATATTAAAAATTCTTGTACTTGTAAAATATATAAGTTACAGAAAACTATTTGCTGATGGAAAAAGAGGATTTGTACCAAACCATAAAAACAGAATACCTGCTTTATTAAAGAATAACTTTTTCATATTTAGAAAATGAAATATGGCTTTCTTTAAAACAAATAACAACTTAATAAGATACTTCCTAGTAAATTTAAGAAGAAAATACCTTAAGTTAAGTAATATACCTACTTATAACATTAGACTTTTAAAAAAATTAGTTAGATTACAAAAAATATTATTTAATTCATTAAAATTACTTAATTTTAATAAATCTAAATTCAATAGCTTAAATCTAAACTTAAGAAATTTAGGTTTAATTAGTTTAATTGAAAAATTATATAACAAAAAGGTAGAAATTAACTTAGTTGAATTAAGATCTATACATTTAAATAGTGACGTCTTTTCATCAGCAGTAGCTTTAAAATTAAGAGATAGGAAAAATAAAGCAGTAAGAGTTTTAAGAAAAGCTGTTTTACAAATGGTAAGAATACCTGATTTACACACACTTATAACATTTGATGATAATATTGAAGCAATGAACAAAAACAATATTATAAATACCATAAAACAACAAGTAGTAAGTGGTGTAAGATTTGAAGCATCAGGTAGATTAACAAGACGTTTAACAGCTATGAGAGCGGTGTTTAAGTATAGATATGCAGGTAGCTTAAAAAACATACGTTCCTCATTTAATAATAAACCATCTACTATGCTAAGAGGTCACGTTAAATCCAATACACAATATACTCTTATTAATTCTAAGACAAGAAATGGTACTTTTGGGTTAAAGGGTTGAGTTAGCAGTCATTAATTAATGCTAACTGTGGATTTTTCACATTTTATAGAGCAATATATTTACTTAGTATTGTGTATATCCTATATACCTACAGCTATATATGATATTTACTTAGTATAAAAATATCATATATACCTACTGCTATATTGGTTATATTTTTATAAATTCTCTCATGGGTTGAAAAAAACATATACTTGTTCTTTTCTACCCTGCTGCTTATTTTTTTTTTTTGTTTAACTGTTTATTTTTTATAAAAAATAAACAAACAGAAAAAAAAGAAACTAAAGCAACCAACAATGTCAAAAGGAAAAAAAATTATAAAAGCCCTTATTTGTTTTTGACGTTATTTCTTTTTATATTTTTCTAGTAATATCTATATAAATTATGTCGAAAAATATAAGCCGAAATAACTAAAAAAAATAAGAGGGGTAGAATGGAAATAAAATCTATTAGATAAAGTTACTACTTTATCCCGAAAATACACAAAAATAGATCTGTAGAAAGTATTACATACTTCTACAAAAGGAGAGCTAGGTGTAATATTATTAACAATATAGAATTTATTTGTAGGTTCGATTCCTAACATCTCTTATAGTGAAAGGTTACAAGCGGTTAAGGGCGTTTTTTCACTTTTCCCTTTTGTTCTACTCAAAATTATAAAAAGGGCCAATCCTCCCGGGGTAGTGTGAGATGAGTGTTGATAGAAAAACACCTTTCTCTCATTAGGAAGCCCAATAAATACAAAAAACTTGTCTATTAGTACAGGTGTACTTGACAATAATAAGCAGGTATGTAATGACTGTTATAGTAAATTATTTTATTATTATAGTTCTTGTATTTGTAAAACACCTTAATTTATGTCAACAAGCTCTTTTGTACGTACAATTCATTCAAATAATGATATATTATAAAATACAATATATACTCCACCAGTATAGTTATTGTGCCCTAATTAACACAGCAAAGTCAAAAAAGTGTTTTAAACTAAAGAGCTAGTAGCATAAAACCTTTTAAGTACTAGTTAGGAGGACTTATTTTATTTCCATACTAAATTGTTTATTTCCATACTAAAAATTTTTATATATTTAAATAGTTTTTAGTTTCTTTTCTATTATAGGATCTATGTTAATAGAATACTTATAATACATAGAAAAAATTTTAGAAAAGTTACTTTATACTTATATATAAAAGATATACTATCTTCTCTCCTTTTGGAGACTAGAATATATTATATATATCAAAAAAAACTTTTTTGTAGTATTATATTTAAATACATAACACATTTAAATTTATAATTAAAAAAATTTTATTTACATAAATTTTTGTTAATTTATAATAAAGGTATATTACAAGGCATTATTTCAAAACTATATAATATACATGGGACTAGTATAATAAATGCAATAACTATTGGTAATAAAACAGTTCAACAATAGGACATAAGCTGATCGTAACGAATACGCGGGAATGAGGCTCTCGCTCAGATAAAAGTAAAGATCATTACACAAGTTTTAAGTCCTATTACCACACCACTTATAGTTGTTCCTATTACTGAATTGTAATTATCAAAGTCAATTACATTAAAATTAGTTTCATTTTCTGTTAGATACATATAACTATCCCCTGCAATAAATTGCACTAAATAAAAGTAAGGATATAGATAATAGTTAAAGTCAAACAGATAACCACCTAAAAATAATATACTATTTAAAATACAAATAAGAATTATACTAGCATATTCAGCTAAAAAGAAAAATACAAAAATAACAGCTGAATGCTCTGTCATAAACCCACTTACAAGTTCTGATTCCACAGAAAAAAACAGAACGAAACTAATCTTGTATAGGTCTAAATCTATAAATTTTATTGTATACAAGATTATTATTCAAATACTTTCCTACCGTAACTTTAGAAATATTTAAGTGTTTAGCTAACTCTACGTTATTCTTAAATTTTCATTTTAAATTCCCATCTAAATCAAAAACACCTACACCTAATGGATATTTATTCATTTTTTCACTTATAATTTTTATGGTAGATTCTTTATGAGTTTTACCATACATAGGGTTTAATACCCCTGGTTTACTAATTAAAGTTAAAGCTTCCTTTGTATGAGTTTTCCCATACATAGGGTGATTCTCTTTATTTTCAAAACGTTTGATCATTTTTTCTATAGCTTCTTCTGTATGTTTATAACCTAACATACTTGTAGCTGTAGCTTTAAAGTTATAAAGATTTCTTAAATTAAATTTTAAAATATAACTTGTTTCTAAATTTGTTAAAGCCTTAGAACTAATTATTTTACTTTCATAAGTAAAATACTCATAGACATAAATATTAAATTTATCTAGTTGATATTTTTCTATTGCTCTTTGCAAAGCAATATTAGATTTCTTATTATTTAAATGTTCATTAAGTCTTATATAAAGATCTTTTGCGCTACCAATATACTGATTACCATTTACGGTATTAAAAATAGAATAAATACCCCCTTTATCTTTTAATAAATCTCTATAGGATAAAATAGAATCTTTATCTTTTAGATTAATAACTAAAATAGGTATAGGGGGGGGCGATCCGCTTCAGGATTTGGATTTTTATTTAAAGTGGAAAAAGATCTACGATGAACTAATTTACATATATATTTACCTTGTAAATAGTTAATAGGATGATAATTTACATTTATATTTGAATTGCGTTTCATATTTATTAATCTTATATTTACATATAAGGTTGGACTATATCATATTTAATAATAAATATTAAATGATCACGTCTAGTCTCTGAAGATTTTTATAAAAGGTATTATTTATAAAGTTTCCTGCTGATTGTCCTTAATAATAAAGGGTTTTCCAGCAATTTGTGATCTTTAAAGAGGCCAAATCAACTAGTAAGTAGCCTCTGCTAGATCAAACGGAGCTCTATTTGTTTCCGCTATAGATCCTATAAAAAACACAATGAATATAGGAAATAAAGGTACAACATATCAAATAGCTCTTTGAGCTTCTATAATAACAGTTATGTCTAAGCTACCTGCTAATAATACTACTAAAAGTATAGCAGAACTTAAAATTAATTCATAACTAATTAATTGAGCTGTACTTCTTAAAGACCCTAAAAAAGCATATTTAGAATTAGCTGACCATCCAGCCAGCAGAATTCCATATGTAGCTAATGAAGACATAGCTAACATATATAATATACCCAGATTATAGTCTAGTAGCACTAAACCAGGACCATAAGGTATTACAGCATATCCTAATAATGAAAAGATTAAAGTTATAATCGGACCCAGGAAAAATAATACTATATTGGCTTGTGTAGGAGAAACATACTCTTTTAATAAAAGTTTAAGAGCATCAGCAAATGCTTGAAGTAGACCATATCAACCCACTGCATTAGGTCCCAGTCTTCTTTGCATGCTAGCCATTGTTTTTCTCTCAGCTATAGTTACAAAAGCTACTGTTAATAAAACAGGTACAGTAACAGCCAATACTTCAAGAACAGAGATAATTGTTGGAAAATATAACATTTTAAATTTAGAATAATGATCTTAAAATTACATTTAGTTAAAAAGTATATTTTAATAAATCAAGTTAATTATCTATTTAAGTCGCATAGATTATATATTTTAAAATAAAGGCGAATTAAGCAATTTTTTATGTTTATTATCGTTAAAATTAACCATTTTCCCTTTAAGATAGGTATATAATTATGATAAATAAGTTGAAAAAATAAGTGAATCGAACACCCTCCGCGAATTTTTTTTCTTTTGCCAAAACATATAAGTAACCATAAGCAAAAAAAAATAAGGTAAAACGGATGCTCTACCAATTGAGCTAATTTCTTTTTTTTTTGTGGGGGCTTTAAGCAAAAGTTTATTTTACTCTTCTCCCCTCCCCTAATTGCAGTATAAAATTTGTACTGCAATTAACCAGTTAATTCATAAGATGTATATACTGGGATTTGTTATATTATAATAGATAAAAAATTACTATAAATTAGTGATTTCACCTTTTTCATAACAAGTATGGTGATATAACCGTTATTTTACTATTATGTGTGTCTAATAGCTAAGTAAGTCAATCTGTAACAGCTTGCATAGTTTCAATAAGGTCCATGTGACCTTTTAATGATAATTCAGCAGCACTTTGTTTAATAGAAATGATTTGATCTTTTGAAGCTTGTGTAATACCCTTTTTACTTAACTCTTAATCTGCTAGCTTAAATATCTCTCTTTTCTAATCTTTAATTATCTTTATATCAATTGCTACTAGCTCACTTGCCCTAAAAACACAGTTGTCTTATTGTACTCTGATTTCTCGGCCAGTAGATAGACCTAAAACAAAATCGTTAAGCGCACGAAGACCACCCGTTAGTTCTGGAGAGACTGGAGAGACTGGAGAGCTTTGTAAATGAACAATCCTTGGCATAGTAGAATTACTATTTTAAGACAATACTAGTGATAAAGATATAAGTAGTGCTAGAGTAATAATAGAATTATTAATATAGGAGTTAAATAAAAGATAAAAGATTAACCCTATCAAGATATACAATGCATAAGATGTAATAACACCAGTGTTTAATTTAGCAATATTACTACTTATATTTAATAATCCTTTCTCTAACCCATAAGGACCTAAATACTCTACGGATCCTTTATCTATTACTTTAGTAGTTTGTCCACCAAGTTTTAGTACAATACCTGTAATGTATCTGTTGTAAAATAGTTCTATTAAGAAACGTTGATTGAAGAAACTAAATATGTTGTAACCTACTCTAGATAATTTAAAGTAAATTAGTATAGTAGATAAATATTCAGACAACACTATAGCGATTACACTTAATGAAATAGTAAATATTAAAGGTAATAACTTAAATAGAGTTGGTACTCCAAATTCAGTATCTAGCATTATTTCATGAGAAGGATGTATAAATAAAGCATTATCTGAAAAGAATCCTGAACCTAACCCTATAAACATGTCTTTTGTTATAAACCCAAAGAATATTGAGAATACAGCTAAAATCATTAAAGGTAAGCTCATAAAGATATCACCTTCATGTGCTTGTTTATAGTTTATTAAAGGTCCATTAGGATTAGTTAAGAATGTTAAATACAACACTTTTACAGAGTATAATGTAGTAAACATTGCTCCTATAGTAGCTATTATATAAACAACAGTACCAGAGAAATAATATTGACCATAAGCAGATTCAAGTATAAAATCTTTTGAATAGAATCCTGTCATAAATGGGAATGCAACTAAGCTTAAAGAAGCTATAAGCATTACAGAGTAAGTAAGAGGTAGGAATTGTCTCAATCCTCCATATCTTCTAAAATCTTGATTATCCGCTACAGCGTGAATTACTGCTCCAGCTCCTAAGAATAATAATGCTTTATAGAAAGCATGATTAACTAAATGGAATAACGCTATGTTATAAGATGATAAACCTACAGCTATAACCATCATCCCAAGCTGGCTCATTGTAGAATAAGCAATAACTTTTTTAATATCTTGTTGGAATAAACCAATTAGAGAACTAAATACAGTTGTAATAGCACCTAATCATAGACATAACATTAAAACTGTTGAACTGTATTCAATTAAAGGAGATGAACGCATTAATAAATACACTCCTGCTGTAACCATAGTAGCAGCGTGTATTAAAGCAGAAACTGGTGTAGGCAAATTTGTTGATTTATGCTATATGTAGATCAATGTCTACACTAATACGGCACAAATACTCAACAACTCACGTTGTTGTTCGGACTATATCATCAATTACATTAATTGTTTATGAATTTAATTTTATCTTTTATGATCTCTATACCTGATTCAGTTAAATGTTTTTTATCTTTAACCAGATCATATATTTTTAACCATCTCAAGTATGAAACATGTTTTTTAGTTTTAAGAGGATAATTGTGTAGATAACTTAATATTTTATTAAGTTTACCAAAATTAACTACAGTATTATAACCATTATAGTTTTTTACATGTGTTACATAACCATCTATTAGGTTAGCAAGCAGTTTACTAAATTCCACATCATCTTTTTGAGAAACTACGTATCTTACAGTAACAATATGTTTACCTGTTTTACTTAAATAAGCAGAACTAGTGAAACATCCTTCTGCATCTGTAAATCCAGATAATCATGCATTACATAAATTTACTTTTCCATTTGATTCTATATGTGTAATATTAGTTTTATATTTTAAATTAAAAGCTTCTAATCATGATTTAAACTGAAGTTTTTTATTTTTGGTTATTAAGTTACCATTGAATATCTTTATTATTTTTAAAAGATTATCTTTATCTCTAACTCTATACTGATGAGTTTGGTTTAATTTGCTTTGTACTGTTACGGATCCAAAGCCTAATTCTTTTTTAATATAGAATAGTACTTGTGCATCTACGCTAGATTGTGTTACTTTAAACACTAAATAGCCTCTTTTGTCTATACTAAATCCTCCGTCTCCTTCAGCAAATCCTATTAACCATCATTCAAAAAAATTTTTATCATTTAATGTAATTGCTTCACGTGTAGTCTCTGAAGAGCCCAAGTTAATAACGTGGTTTCCTGCGGATTGTCCCTCATTCTGGGTTTTTCCGAAGCTTACAAAGTAAACAGTGGACCAGAATATAAAAACGGGATGTTCCCGCATATAGTAAAGTTTAAGGAAGGCCCTATTCAAACCTTCCATCGCCATAGGTAATCATACGTGAAGTCCTACTTGAGAACTTTTAGCCATAGCTCCAATTAATAAACATATACCTACAATAGTAACAACATTTTCATTCATGTAAGGAGCTAATGAGAATACAGTTGCATAATCAAGATTACCAAACGCTCATAATATAGCAAACATACCTATAGTTAAGAAACAATCACCTACTCTATTTGTTAAAAATGCTGAAAGAGAACTTTGATTTGCTGCTATTCTAGTAAATCAAAAACATACTAAAAGATATGAACAAACCCCAACACCTTCTCACCCTACAAACATTAATAAATAGTTATTTGCTGTAACTAATATAACCATCATAAATGTGAACAAGCTTAAATAGCTAAAGAACCTTTGATTGTGAGGATCCTCACTCATATAACCTATAGAATAGATATGCACTAAAGAAGAAACTATTAAAACAGGTATAAGCATAGAAACTGTTAATGAATCAAAATGAAATCCTCAGGATACATTTAATGATTCAGAATCAATTCATCTGAATACCTCTATGGATACAGGTATATTATTTAACCCAACTTCAAAGAAAGCTAAAACAGCTAATATTGTTGTAGTTACAACAGCTGTACATGTAATTATTTGTGCTCCTGATACTCCGATTTTTCTACCAAAAAAACCAGAAGCTATTGATCCTAATAGTGGTAAGATAATTATAGCTAGATACATTATTTAAATTCAATACTAATACTTCCTCTTCGTTTTCTCCCTTTTTCCATAGGAATTGTATTCCCTTAGGAAGGATAGGATATTACCATAATTTTTCTATTATGCCTGACTATACCTTAAGCAAATAATTATAT